TTGTGTTTTTTTGTATGAAATTTAGTATGGTATACTATGATAATTCCAAAACAAGATTTCAGCAAAGCGTGTTCTGACGAAAATTATTTCATCGCTTTTGATAATAAATTTTGATTACTATTTATTAAATACATTATTTTATAACTTGTCTTGAGGCAAAATACCATTTACACCTAGGTTTAATAACATAACAAATATAATACTTGCACAAAATATTACAAATCTATCAAATTTCGTTTTCGAGTGCATTTATTTCTAATAACATAAACACCTGGTGACGTCATCATCCTATGCATTGAGTGCATCGGATTTATGCCCATATATGGTAATACCTTAGAAAGGGACAGGGATAATTTGCCAAAAATCGTGCAAATTTAGTTCTTGGCGAACACTTGATGTGATCGGATGTCGCCTTCGGTTGTCGGTCTTAAATCGTCAGAGTTCTTCCGAGTGCATTTCTTGTCTTTGTCGAAGGTCGTGGTGAATAAAATTGATATAAAAATGGATTTAATGGTAAGTAAAATATTATATTTAGTAATATATATAGTATATTTATTTATGCATATATTTTGCATATTATTTATATATTATAGACTTGTAAAACCCCATAATTTTAATTTCTTGTAACTTAATGCAATGTCTGCCTTTGCACTTTTCATGGTGCAAATGAAATATTATTTTAGAATTGAGTGTAGCGCTAGATCTTATTATTAACCTAGACGTGTAGGCAAGTTGCTTGAACTTCCCGATAAATGTTTATAATTAATACTTCACAATACACAATATATTGCACGAGATCGTTTATTAAAAATAAGTTTGACAGCAAAGTTTTCACAAACATAGTTAGTACTTCCAAAAAATTTAATAATTGTTTTTTTATTGGAAATATTATGAATGTCTATTTATGTAGACAACTAGTATGTACTTATTTGTATACTTAATTTATATGTATTAATATAAAGTGTGTTACTTCTACAGGTTGCAATTATGTCCGAATCGATGGTCGTGAGTGAATTTATCGAGGATAATTGCCGAATTAAATGGTAAGTTGTAGTTATATATATTAAATATATATATATATATATATATATATATATATATCATATATTATATATTGTATATTATTTATATATTATTTGTATATTATAATGTCGTAAAATGCCATGGTTTTAATACTTTATACAATGTCCATCCAGTGGCGTTGTTGGTGGTGCGTTTTAGTATTGCACAATAAAGTGTTCAACGACAAATGTCGATCGTATGGGATTTTTACTAAAGTTTATATAAACTAGTGGTATATGGCATCGTGTCTTACGGGAAATTACTGGAACTTCCCGTACCGTAATGAAATATTCGAGAAATTTCAAACTTTTTCAAATATATTGTTACAAATACCGTAACTTTCATTATTTTTGCTATCTTTTGTTATATCTGAGCAGAGCAAATGTAAATTATACATAAATTAATTTATCTCCAGAACATTAACAATCGTCATTTCATTTCGAATTCAATTTCAAAAATATAGTTGCCTAATTTGCACAAAATTGAAAAAGTGCTCCCGTATAGTCACACTCTAAACGTATTTGCTAATAATTCTGTGCGACATTTTCAGTTATACTGTGCTTAGCTTGGCGGCATTTTCACGTTTTTCAATAATTTTCACAAAATTGGAAAAGTGCTCCAGTACATAAACAGTCTAAACGCACTCGGGTAACGCATTTGTACCAGAGTGGCGCTTAGACTGTGCTTAGCTTGGGTCATTTTTCGAATTTTTAATCCAAAATTACAAAAATTTTTTTTGAAAAAAAAATTAGAAACAAATTTTCTGCAATTTTGTTGAAACAAGCAGAATGTTCTTCGAATCATTCAAATCGGATTATTATTTTTCTCAAAAACGGCCGTTTTTTAACATTTAGCTCTGTATCTCCAAAACGTTGGGCCTACTTTCGCCAAAAACTAATAAACACTTTTCCTCGTCATTACGAACTGAATGTTTTTTGCATTATTTGAATCTCTCAAAAACTCGATTTCTATTTTCTGCTCTCATTGCTCCATATCTCCGTAACGGCTGGACCTGCCTTTGTCAAAAACTAATCACCACATCTTCCTATCAATAGGAATCGAATAGGAACCGTTTAGACTGTGACCTATGGAGCACTTTTTCGATTTTGTGTAAATTAGGCAACTATTTTTTTTTGAAATTGAATTTGAAATGAAATGACGATTGTTAATTGTTCTGGAGATCTGGAAATTGATTTATTATTTACATTTGATTTGCTCAGATATAACAATAAGATAGCAAAAATAATGAAAGTTACAGTATTTGTAATAATAATATATTTGAAAACGTTTAAAATTTCAATTTAAAGATTTTTAAGTGTACACAGAAACCGGTAAACAAACCTCTATTAAAAATCCTTTATTCACAAAGTTACATAACAATGTAAACAAATATCTACGGATTTCAATCGAACACAATGCAGAATATTTATCAGAGATAATAATAATGCGTATAATATTTAAATATTGTAACAGACAATATGTACTAGTGGTGTGTATGGCATCGTGCCTTAAGGCAAATTACTGGAACTTTCCATACCGTAACGAAATGTTCATTGAATCTTTCAAATCGGACGCTTAATTCTCTCAAAAACTGCCATTTTTGCACATTTAGCTCGATATCTTCAAAACGGCTGGACCTGCCTTTGCCAAAAACTAATCACCTCTTCTTCCAATCATTACAAATTGAATGTTTTTTGAATCGTTCAAATCGGATTCCCCGTTTTCTCAAAAACTCGATTTTTATTTTCTGCACTCTTCGCTCCCTAACTCCAAAACTAACGGACCTACCTTTGCCAAAAACTAATCAGCACATGTTCCTAATAATAGGAATCGAATGTTTTTTTAATCATTCAAATGATTGATCCGTGCGCCCGAAAACATCGACGAAATATTGTATCCATACACACACATTCATTTTTTCTGAGTAATGCCAAAATATTCAGAAACCTCAAAAACGTGAAGTAAAAACGTAAAAATTTTTAATTTCGATTTTTGGACGATCACAATAACTGACCCTACGGGAAGTTAATAATTGTATAGGGTTATTATAAATGCTTTATATATATTTTGATATTATGCAAGAGTTTTTACCTTTTACTTTAGGATGACATATCGAATATCTTATTCAATTTATTAATTCCAATTTAAATTTAAATATATTTTTGTGGATTTTCTAACGTTTTTACACTGTCTGCGTAAAAGTGATTGTTTATTCTAACACATTTTGAAAACCAATTCGGAATATTTAAAAACTAGTTGAAAGTGGCATTTTGGTAAAGGATTGTCACTTACATTGCCTTAGAACATATTAAAATATTATCGCGCTACGGCAAGTAGTTTAATTTTAAAAATCATCAAAGTTTGAAAAAATATTATATTATGGTCAAAATTTATGTCAAAAGTCGCTTTTGTGATGTGAAAAGTTAAACATTGTCAACTTATTAAAATTAAGAACATTAAACTACAATTTTAGGACATACTAGTACATGCCTGTGCAATATAATTAATATAATTACAGTTAATTTAAATGTTTTTGAAAAAATTCATTTGAAAATCACAAAGTTCAGATTTAATTACGAAAACTTGAGTTTTGTAACAAACAGTTGACTAATTTTATCTAAATATCTAAATTTCAATTTCGATTGATTAAGTCAATTCCTACACATTTCGAGAAGTTCAAGCATTTTAGCCTTAAGGCTAAATGACACTTTAAGCCAGTTATAAATTTTGTATGAATTTTTACATTTTTCCTTATGATATGTTGATAAAATATTGAATTTTTTTTAATAAATTAGCATTTTATATATGATTTACGGCTGATAACTTCCTGATTGTTGAGATAGGAAAATTTGTTGAAATAGGAAAATTTGTATAATCCCAAAAATATGTTTTTTTAATGTTCTCTGTTTATTAGTTTTTGCTGTAAGTGTAGCATTTTAACCCTTTCCACTTTCTAATTCTGGAATTTTTATGTATTTTGCCGCTGCAGTGGCGGCATCCGAGTCGAAAGGGTTAATTTTTCGGGTTGATACCAATAAATATGAATTTAATAATTCTTATTCAAGTTCCATGCCTTATGGCAAAATGCCACTTACACCTAGGTTCTTATTATTTTTAATTCATTCCATATTTTTGTGTATTATGTGAAATTGAATTCAAAATTTTCAAATATGTTAGTTTTAGTTGTCAAAAGGGAATTTTTAAAATTCATGTACAATTTTAATAAATTGCACTATCATCACATTATTTACATCATAATGGTTGTGTTATCAAAAAATCTTATCATAAGACCAACCTTTATAAAACCAGTTTTAGTTAAGAAACAATTCTTTGAATTTGCCTTTATCGAAAACTTTTACTTACTATCGAAACTATCGAAAAATAAGTTACGTAACAATGTAAACAAATATTCACAATCAAATTCGAATCGAAAAAATGTTAGTTCAAGCTAAAAATTTTGAAGGTACCGTATCAATATTTTAAATACTAATCTAATAATTAAATAAAATTAAATTAAAATTAAAATTAAATAATAATCTAATAATTTTTTGAAAATTTTTGTTCGATTTTTGTAATTGCAAATTCATCATCAGAACAGTGACATTTAATTAATTAAACTAGTTGTGTATAATATTAAAGAAAATTCTCGTTCTTTAAAAATTGAAATTCTGTTGAAATCTATTTTGAATTATGATTTTATACATTAATAGTTCTTCCCAATTTTTTTATAAAAAAAATTATTTGTTCCTCGAACAAATAATGCGCCACGTGCACTTTACTCTCCGGTTGCAACATTCGGTTTGTAAGGTTTGGTTTTTCTTCGGTTTTTGCACTTCGACTAATATAAAAAATACAATTCGCCTTCTGAAACTTTACTTTACTTTCGGCAAGTTCATTTCATTTTCTTGTGTTACTCATGAACAGAAATAACATGGGAAATGGACAGAACCGAACTTAGGACAGATAGAAGTAAAACTTATTTGCTACTGTACAAGATGGCTTTTAAGTAAAAATAAATACATCATATAACAATTTTGAATAATGTTTATCAGTAATATATGGTTACACTCGTGATGCACGCATTTATTAGTGTCAACCATTATACACATTTATATGATGATAAATTATAAATTGTTTATATAATGGCATTAAAAATATGTGTAATATTTAAAAACTCCGATATAAAATAACCACTTTGAATAAAACCACTTTGAATTTGATATTTCATTCTTTAGCAATAAATAGAAAATTCGGGACATTTTTTTGGTTATTGTCAAATAACTCAAAAACTTTATATCACTCTTTAGCAATAAATAGAAACTTCGGGTCATTTTTTAGGTTTTTGTCAAATAACTCAAAAATTTCATATGGAACCACCCTCTTTTTCCCATAATTTACAAAATTCCGGAAGTTAGTCGGGTAAAAATTTAGTTTGCTCGTCAGTAGAGTCCTTTTTTATTTGCTCATCAGTAGATTTCCTTTTTTTAAATATTTTTAAATTTAGAATTGTTAAATCTTTTTCTATTAGAATTGTTATTTGCCCGTCAGTAGAGTCTCTTTGTTATAATTTTAGTTTGCTTTACTTTTGCGTTTGCTTGTGAGTAGAGTTCCATTCATATTTTTTTTTATTAATTTGCTCGTCAATAAAGATCCTTTGTTCTTCTAATCTTTGTTTGCTCGTCAGTAAAGCCCTTTTTTTTCTTTTTAGTTTGCTAGTCAGTAGGGTCTTTTTTTCATTTTTTTTAGTTTGCTCGTAGAATCGTTCTTTTATTTTATTTACAAACTACTCCTTAGTACAGTTCCTTCTTCCTTGTCCCGAAATTTAGTCTCGTTAGTAGAGTCCTCTTTTTTGCCAGGTTTATTTGTCAGTAGAGTTTCAATTACATGAAGTTCTTCAAACACAATTATTACATAATGAGTGAAGTTACGAAAATATTTGTTTAGGCATTGTTTAACATAATCCACTGTGTGAACGAATATTATAAAATTTATTAATCAGGAATTAGTTCATTTCTCTAATAAATGCTAATTACAAAGACAAACCGATCATATCGTATTTGAAGTATGACTTTAAATGCATTATTGTTTTCGAATATTATACATATTTTTAATACTATTATAAATATATAATTTATAATTTATCATTATACAAATGTGTATAATGATTGACGACACTAATAAATGTGTGCATCACGAGTGTTACCATATTGCTAATAAACATTATTCAAAATTGTTTTAATGTATTTATTTTTACTTAAATGCTATCTTGTACAGTTACAAATAAGTTTTACTTTAATCGTGTCTTTTATTATTTTTTCCCAGTTCGGCCCTGTCAATTTTTCTTGCTCCCAGAAAGTTTCTCAGAACAGTTATCAATACAGCAGTTCATACAAGTTTCAGTTTCAATAAGTTTCGACGATAAATTACCGACTTTCTAATACATTTTGCTGTTATTGCTTTCTTTAGGACAAATACTTATTTTCTTTTGTTTTTGTTAACAAATGGGGCAAGTTATTTTAATTTCTGGAAAAGGACATTTTATTTTTGATAATTGGGAGGAATAATTTCTTTAATAAAAATATTTAAATATATGGTGGTCCTTAATATGAACATTTTCGAATTTCCTTGCTCCCAAGGGCTCAAATGCTTTCTAAGTGATAAAAGAAAATTCTCTAAAAGTTTTAGCTCTTAATATTAACATTTAGATAGTCCGCAATTCAATTAAAAGTTTCGTATATTTATTATTAACATATTACCCTAAATAAATACTTGCGCCATCTGTGATTGGAGACTTGTAAATTTGATGGCAATTCATTACTGATCATCTGAGTGTCAAAATCACCAATTAAATAAATATTTTGCTGCAAAATTAATTTTGATGCCATGAAGAATATTTTGTTAAACAGTCCACATGGATTTAATTAGAGGTTATGTGATTTATAAATATTTTCAAGTGTAACCTATATTTAAATTTCAAGCAAATTGATATTTCTGACAGATGACAGTTTTCATATGTCAAAATGTTACAATGTCAAACAATGATATGTTGTTTTTTTGCATTTTTTTCATTTGTTTTTGCAATATTACTATAGTTTTATGATTCATGACACCTTAAAAATTTTTCTTAACAAACTCCAAAAAGATTTATCGAAATCCGAATAACCGTTCAAGAGGAGTTTGCACTCATACATCCGTACAAAATAATTTTATACAAAAGATTATCTAGAATCAAATCTAGGGGTCTATGTTTGATTCTGTCTGGGCTCAGAATTTAACCTAATTTAAAATTCAAACGAGTTGACAATTCTGGCAAATGACATGTGTCAAAATGTTTTTAATGTCAAACAATAATACGTTGTTTTTTTCCAATATTTTCCATTTATTTCTACAATATTACTATAGTTTTATGATTCATGACATCTTAAAATTTTTCCTTTACAAACCCGAAAAAGATTTATCAAAATCCGAATAACCGTTTAGGCGGAGTTTGCATTCATACATCCGAACGAAAGAATTTTATACATAAGATTATCTAGAATATAACCTAAGGGTCTAGCTTTCTAGTCTGGGTTCAGAGTTTCACTTTTAAATTTAAATTTCAAGCGAATTGATATCTCTGGCAAATGACAGTTGTCATATGAGTCAAATGATGACAGTTCGACATGTGTCGAAATGTTTTCAATGTCAAACCAAAATATGTTATATTTTGCATTTTTTTATATGTTTTTACAATATTACTCTAAATTTATTATTCTTAATATATTAAAAATTTCCCTTAACAAACTCTAAAAAGATTTATCAAAATCGGAATAACCGTTTAGGAGCAGTTTGCATTCATACATCCGTACAAAAAATTTCATACATCATAACATAAAATTAAAAAAAGATCAATTTATACATAAGATTATCTAGAATTAAATCTAGGGGTCTAGGTTAAGGTTTAATTCTGTCTCGGCTCAGATTTTCACCTTAATTTAAATTTCAAGGAAATTGACACTTCTGACAGATGACTCATGTGTCAACATGTTTTCAATGCCAAACAAAAATATGTTAAAATTTGCAATTTTTTCATTTATTTCTACAATATTACTATAGTTTTATAATTCATGACATCTTAAAAATTCCTCTTAACAAACTCCAAAAAGATTTATCACAATCCGAATAACCGTTCAAATGGAATATATTTACGTACATCAATACAGAAGAATTTTGATATATAAGATATAGTTAATAGTTAATAT